TGTGCCACTGCAGTCCAGCCTGGGTGACAGAGTGAGACTCCTACTCAAAAAAAAGGGAAGATGGAACAGGTTATTTTTCCCTTCAACCCCTGGGTCTGCCATGGGGGGGGGAGGCGGCAAAGGCTGGGAGCAGAGGATGTTCTTCAGTGTGGGCAGGCATAACAGAAAAGGCGTCTTCAACCAGAGAGCCAGTCTGGAGGTCATCTAGTCCAGTCTCTATATTTTACAGGTGAGGAAACTGAGATACATGTTAGTCAACTGATCGGGTGTTACTATACAGCCAGCCACTAAGTAGCAAACGCAGGACTCCTAGTCAGGTATTCCTACTACTGTTACACCATAGTATTTCTTGAGGAAGCAGGAAAAGCTGAACTCCGAAGAGGGCACCAGGACAGGATCAGGAGCATAGACTGGATAGCCTGTCTCTGTTCAGTTTAGGTAAGTACTTGCTTTGGGACAAAAACAAGTCAGGGAGTCACAGGTTTTCCCTGGGAACTGGGATCCAGTTCCATATCCTTGACAGAAGGATTAATTTGTCACTACTCCTCTCTAGATGGTCTTGGCTAAGTCCTGCCAGGACAGTTGGAATAGAAGCAATTCAATGAGAGGAAACAGGGAAATGTGGGGTTATTTTTGCAGGAGTCAGCGGACCTTGGGATTAATGTGAGATTTGCTAAGTAGGGAAGATAGGTGAGAAGCCAGTAAATACCCTCATCTCCTTTCCAACTTTGTTTAAACCCAAATCACCAAAATCCTGAACTGAGAGTTCTACTACTTGGTTCAGCTTTTTCATCGTGCTGATCCAATGTGTTACTGGATTAAATTAGAGTTCTTCCACTTCTCCCACCCTCTCTTATATTTCTCCAAGAAGCAAAAAGCATACTTATCTCTTATCAGCATGGTACTAGGAACTCCCTAGTATTGACCAAGGAAAGATTGGAATGCCCTTCCCTACTTTCTCTTCCCAGCAAAATCTTAATATATCTCATAAGGTCAAGTTCAAATATTACTTCTGTGAAATTGCATAATTACCCTCTTACCCCTGCAGAATTTGTCATTGCTTCCTCTAGTGACCCATGGGGTCCTGTAGCATTAAGACTGTATCTTAAATCATAACATATATCACACTACATAAATTTGTGTCTGTCTGCTCTGCTAAAACTAAGAACTTCTTATAAAGCGGACCTTTTTTTTTTGAGTCAGAGTCTCACTTTTCACCCAGGCTGGAGTACAGTGGCATGCTCATGGCCACAACAGCCTCGACCTGCTGGGCTCAGGCATTCTTTCTGCCTGAGCCTTCCAAATAGCTGGAATTACAGGTGCCCACCACCACGTCCAGCTAATTTTTTGATATATTACAGAGATGAGGTCTCGCCATATTGCCCTGGCTGGTCTCAAACCCGTGGGCTCAGGCAATCCTCTCACCTCCTCCTCCCAAAGTGCTGGGATTACAGGTGTGAGCCACTGCGCTGGGCTGACTTTTTTCTTTTTAATGTCATCTTAAATCTTCTGAACAAAGTTCAATGCTTGGCTCCCAGTAGGTGTTCATTAAATGCTCCCTAAATTTATTAAGGCCAAATAATCCTGCTTCCCTCCCATCAATCAACTCCTCCCCTTCTGTGCCATCTGGATACATCTTAGTTCTATTTGGGAAAGTTTTAAATAGGCCTCAGAGAACCAATTCTCTCCCTGGCCTCTTTGTGATCTCCCTTGGATAGAAGGCCTTCTTGGGATCCAGCCCACAAGGTACTGTTGAAACTCACATGGGCTAACTGCTTTTCCTGTCACCCGTTACCATGCCTCAGATGGCCTAATCGCACTCCAAGTGTGGTCCTCTCACCCAAACACTGAGGCAACTATAGCTAAAAGCAAGTTCCCTGAATTTTCACTTGATGTTAAATGGTCAAACAGCTTTGGTGCGTTATGTCTCTATTAATTCCTAACTTGAGAAACACAAGTTAAAAAACAAATCAAATCATGGCACCAGAGAGCCAGGAGACACTCTGAAAAGATACTTACTGCCCTAAATGGAAGCTATGACCTTGCCCAGAAATCTGCATCCTCTTTGCTCACCTGGGTGGCTCCTTATTCAGCTCAGTTACTGTTCAGTCGATAACTAAATCTTTCCTAAAACACTTGTGGGAAGAAGGAGTGTAATGTGTAGGGTTTTATGGTATCCTTCTTCCCAGAGGACTGCTACATTTCCTTATTTTAAACTCATTGTCTCACACTTTGGTTACTTTCCAATCTGAAATGCTTTAGGATTAGGGAGTGAACTATACACTTGCTTCTCCTACCCTATGCCTCCTTCTCAGAAGTCACATTCACATCGATGCACACAAACAAGCAAGCCACAGAAGAGCAATCCTTGCTCATAGGTAAAGTAAGAGTTAAAGATATAGTTCTGCAGTATGGATTGGGGGTGGGGAGATAAGTATGACTTCAAGGGCAATAGGAAAGCCCTCTTCTCCAAATGTATTTTTGCAACTCCAGGTCTATGTTTGAAATTCCATATTGATAATTCCACCCCTTAGCACCTTAAGATGCAAAAACACTTGGAACAATTAAGACTTTAAGTGACTATGTGTTATTTATACCTTGATATGGAGCAATTCCAGATGTTTTAGGTAAACTCTGATTAAGGGAAGGTAGAAAAGACACAAAGGGATATGTAGACTAGAAGAAAGAGACAGGATACAACCAGGTTTTAGAAAATAGCAGACTATAAAGGATTAAGACACACATACCCCTACAGAATTTTCTCTAGGACTTGTTTTGCAGGTGAGAAAAGTTCCTTGGGGAGACAACAGTGAGGTTTCTGATGGGTAATGTAAAAAGCTGGGCATATTAGAGGGCTTCTAAAGCCAGTAAGGACAAAGTCAACTAGTAAGGTGCCAGTATAAAATGCCCCAGCTGTACTCTCACTCTGAGATTTAGAGGAAAGCCAATTTCAAATCCAGTGAAACTCAGAGTTTCTCAGATCACTACAGAAAGACACATACAGAGGTTTCGTTAGGGAACCACCATCATCTGGGATAAGGAAGGAACAGTCACATAATGCGAACATGCAGAGACCATGAACCAGAAGATAAAGAGTTCTTGAATTCCTCACTTTAACAGAGATGTCAATGATTGTTCCAAAAATGATTCTTTCCTGCCCATATATGAGAGGAAAAAAAACGTCCATCTATTTGAGCATTTCCTAGGACACCCAGCGCACAACTGGAGGGGAGGAGGAGGTGGTATATTGAAGGTGAATGATAACTCACAGTACAACCCTCTGCTTGTCTGAATCTGATAGAAGACAAAACAAACTGTGAAAGGAGCACAATAAATAACAGAGTATCACCCCAGAAGAAAAACTGTAGAAAGAATGAGACTAGAGTTCAGTGAGAACACGAAAACAGGATTGCCTTTGGTGGCACATCCTCCAAAGCAGAGTCAGATTAGTGTGATCTGCCGTCTCTGATCCCTGACCTTCCTAAAAGAAACATGAGGGAGATGTGTGTGGGAGGATATGCATGTTTTATACTGCTGTACAGCTTAAGTATTTAAAGTTATGTACCTTCGTAATTAAGATATGTTGTGATAAAATACATTAGTGTAGAAAGGAAAAAGGAGGAAGTACAATACGGGAAAACCCAACAGGCCCCAATCTATGGGGACTGAGAAGGTCAGCAGACCAGGAAGAGTTCGCGGGGAGGGAGGGCTCCACGCCCCTGCTTTAGAACCCACCTTCTTCTTTTCTACTCACCCCCTTCCCCAGATACCCAACTTTCCAACAGCACGGAAACCTGGACTCCTGAAGAAACAGACAAAGAACAAGAGGGTGATGCCAACCTTTCGGAATGGAGTTTCTCACTCTTCCCCAAATGTCTTCCTCAGTGCTATCGCCTCCTAGTTCCGGGCCTGGCTGACTCCGTTACCTGCCTGGGAAATACCCAAGTCTAGGTCCCACGAAAGTTCCACCAACTATGGTCAGAAGCTCTCTTGATGGCTAAGGACGTCCAGGCCCCTTTTCCCTGCAGATCATGAAACCACTCGCCACTTCTAGGTCAGAGCTCTGCTATTCCCTAGAGGCCACGATATTAAGTGGGAAAGAAGTGGACAAGCCATCCCCCGAATCCAACTTCCTCGCTCTCTCACAGGGCATGAAACCGCAGGTACGAAGAGACACCCCGCAGTACAGAGCAGCTATGGGGCCCAAAGTACTGGCAGGGGCTGAGTCTGGAGCAGCGACAGTCATGGGGAAGAAGTCCTTGACTTTCGTCTTCATCCCTACCCCGGGAGGACCAGAAAACTTCGGGCCACCACATCCACACACTAAGGGGAACAAAAGGGTGAGGACTCCCAAGCCTCAGCCACCCTCCAGCGTTCCCAGGAGCGCTCCTGTCTGACACCAGGCCGGCGCCCCTGGCCTCGCCCACCTCGTCTTCCCCAGTTCTCCCTCCCCGGAGCCAAGTCCCTCTCGGTTCGACCCCACAGCACCCTCCGTCCTTCTCACAATAGCCGCTTTCCCTGGAAAGAACGCCTCCTCCCCAACTCGGAGCCCTGCCCGGGCCCTTCCCGGGAACACCTCTCCAGGGACCAGCCCCCGTCGCCCTCGGGCCCGGGGCGTCAGGGCTGACCCCTCCTCACCTCCCGGCAAAAGGGCTTACCTCACCCGCCGCCCGGTCCCTTTCTCCAGCTCCTCCCTCTCCAGCGCTGCTCCGCGGGGCCTGTCCCCGCCTCGCACCCGCTCCGGGCCTCGGGCCCGGCCTCCCGCCCGGCCGCCCCGGAGCCCGGTCGCCTCCCCGACTCACCAACTTCGGGGTCCCAGCCCGCCCGGTCCCCTCCTCAGCGCCCCCATTAGGCCCGCGGGGGCCCGGCCCCCTTCTCCCCTGTCCAGTGGGCCGCTCTAGCCCCCGCTTGGGCCCAGATCCGCCTCCGCTCTCAGGCCGGGCGGCTCTCATGCCCCGGGTGCCTCCACCCCTGCCCTTTGGGCTCCATCAGCTCGGTACCTGGGGCTCCGTCTCCCCCGTCGGCCCCGAGTCTGTGTCGAACAGACAAACAGCTGCAGCTCAACCAAACCCTGCTGCCCCTCCTTCGCCTCCTCGCCCTGGGGCGGGGGCTCCAGCCAATAGCTCGATTACCCGCCTACCATTGAGGGCGGGCTACATGTGCACTCATCCGCCAATCCTCTGGAGAAGGGCGGGTCTCGCTGAGCGCTGTCACCAACCAGTACGAGCAAGAGACTGGATAGGCGGGGCCCTCAGCCAATAGAGAGGAAGAAACCTCGAAGATGGACGCGGTGAGGAGCCGTTAAAGAGCGAGCTCCCGGAGACAGGAGGCGGAACACCATCGACAGACGTTTGTACTAGCCAATAGCATCTCGACACCCCATGACCCCCCCCGCCTTTTGACTCATAAACATCTAATCAGGTGAGTGATGGAGGCGGGTCAAAATGAAACTTTAACCAGTAATGCGTAAATTCTGGACTTGACTGGCAGGCAAGGCGGGGTCGAAAAAGGCCTCAAGAAGGCTGGGGCTGACCTTCGCCCCACCCCCTGAATTTGGCGGGGGCTGGCCCTAGTGCCCCGCCTTCCATGACAAATTCGCAGGCGTGAAGGGAAATACCTCTCCTAGGGATCGCGAGCCTGGGAATTTAAGTCACCCTTACGTCAGCGCTTCCTTCTTCCAGTGGGGCTTCAGAGGACAGGAGTTTTAGGGGTGGCCCGCGGGCGGTCTGAGCTGTTTTTTGGTGGAGTGAGACAATGGCAACTAAGAAATAGCTTGGAAAGTCTTTAAAGAGCCCCATCATAATAATTTTCATATAGACAACTGATACTTTCTTTTTTTCTCTTTTTACTTGTAGAGACGGGTCTCATTATGTTGCTCATGCAGGTCTTGAACTCCTGGCCTCAAACGATCCTCCTGCCTCAGCCTCCCAAAACGTTGGGATTACAGATGTGAGCCACGGAGTCAGACCAATAATTTGTGAATGGTATTGTAAATGTGAATACAAGAAGCTTTAGAAGACTTTGCTGTTTGTGATATGCAATAGGAAAGAGAAACAGCGAGATTACTGGGAAATGCAGTGTCAGGCAAATCCCCCTGGAGCCCACTTCCAATCGTATTGCTGCTCCTAAGCTTTTCTTTTTTTTTTTTGAGTTGGAGTCTCACTCTGTCGCCCAGATTGAAATTCTGGGCTGGACTCGGTGGCTCACACCTATAATCCCAGCACTTTGGGAGGCCGAGGTGAGAGGACTGCCTGAGTCCACGGGTTCGAGACCAGCCTGGGCAACTTGGCTAGACCTCACCTCTACAATGAATCAAGAAAAATGAGCCAGGCGTGATGGTGCACGCCTATGGTTCCACTACTTGGAAGGCTAAGGTGGAAAGATTGCCTGAGCCCAGTAGGTTGAGGCTGTGGTGGCCATGAGCGTGCCACTGCCCTCCAACCTGGGCAACAGAGTGAGACTGCAACTCAAAAAAAAAAAAAAAGAAGAAATTCTGGAACTGTTGTTCTCTATGTATGTGTATGTGGGGTGTGTATGTGTGTATGTGCTGGGCTGGGGGGAAGGGATTTTGCTGATGTGTGGGGAAAGTGAAGTAGGGAATATATAGACTTCAGTTTCCCCCGCTGTAAGATGGGGACAAATAATACCCACTTTTTTTTTTTTGAGTTGGAGTCTCACTCTGTCGCCCAGACTGGAGTGTAGTGGCCGCTCCCGGCCACCGCAGCCTCGACCTGCTGGGCTCCGGCGATCCTTCCGCCTCAGCCTTCCAAGTAGCTGGAACTACAGGCGAGCACTACTATGCCCAGCTAATTTTTTTATTTATTGTAGAGATAAGGTCTCGCCAAGTTGCCCAGGCGGGTCTCGAACCCGCGGGCGCAGGCAATCCACTCACCTCAGCCTCCCAAGGCGCGGAATTACAGGCTGAGCCACCAAGCCTGGCTATAATACCCACTTTGTACACCCTCAGCACTAGCCAAAATGAGGTGGGGGGGGTAGCCCTGTACAGAGACTATGAAAAGAGGGGTCCAAAATCAATGATCACTTATGCACATTCATATCATTCTTTCAGTACATAAGGAGGAAAGAGATGAACTATAAAACTAGGAACATTTTTTTTAATGGATTACAAACTAAATTACAAATAACGTTAATAACAAGAGCACTCAAGGACAAGGGATAGGAGAAGAGAGACAAAACCATAAAAAGAAAAAAAAAATGCGTTTTTCGCATTGGTATTACAAAATCCCAAGGTGCACATGGCAACAAATCCACCCACTCTGACAAAAAAAACTACTATAATCTGAAATATAAATATAATTGTTCATCCTTCTTTTAAAGAAATATTTTTCTCCCAATGCCCCCACTCAATCACAACCCTGAAAAAGTGTCAGCATTCTCAAAATGATGCCTAAACTCTTAACTTCCACTTCTGTGGGGTAAAGGGGGGTGACCTCAGAGGAAGATGGGAGCAGGAATTCCTGGCAACTGAAGAACTAAGAATACTAAAAGGAAGAAAAATTCAAACATCTCTCACCTGCCTCATAAAGCCATGATGAGGCAACAGATTGGAATGAAGCAATCCCTGTCCTGGAGCCTCCCAGACTCCTTTTGCCTGTAGGAGGGTCAGACAAGGGGACTAGGTGCAATCATTTCTTCTGCAGCCTCACCAGGACTGAGTCTTGACTCTCCAGCCTGTTAGGCAAGGTGAAACACTAAAACTAGGGTATAAACGGATTGGATCTATTTTCCTAGCCTCATTTTTAAAAACAGACCCCTCCCCGTGGTTTTGTTTTGCTTGGTTCTCAAAAGTTCCAACTTAGCCCCATGCTATGAGCCTTTACAAAAACAGTGGCAGCAGGTGTGGGGTCTTTGTCATCCCAAACACAAGAAATAATAATTATGAGCATTCAGAGATGGGATGGCAAACCCAACATGTGGGGAGGACAGTGAGCTTTGTTTTCGTTTGTTTGGTTTAATACCACCCCTCTGCAGCAATGACTAAGAGCAAGGCGAGAGGGTGGTGGAGACTGACTTAAGTGCACTGAAACTTCCTTTCATTTTCACCTATTTCTCCCTGTATCCCCAGAGTTGACTGGTCAAGAGAGGGAGGTGGGTGTTAAGGCAGCCTGACAAGATCAGGGGGCCACCTGAACCCAATAGCCCAGGGCCGAGCCAGGTCAAGCCCACACTGGAGGCAAGAGTGAGACTGGGTGTGGGGGCTCAGAGAAGGACATCAGAGTCGAAGGTGGGGTACAGGCTTGGTCACATCCTGGAAGAAAGGGTGAGCCAGAGCTGCCTTTGCCGAAATCCGCTTGTTGGGGTCGTAGTGCAGCATTTGCTGGAGGGAGAGATGCATGCTGACTTCAATGATATAACAGTGGATGGAATGGATAGTAGTGTTCCCAGAAATCAGGAAACCAGAATTCCTTCTACCTAAAGCAGAGCTCTCACTTCCCCCCTCCCATACCTGAACCAGCGTGCCAACAGGGAGAGAGGCAGGGACTAGGGAAATGAAAACCCTGAGACCCAGAGTTCAGGGTCTCATTCTTCCTTCATCCTGGAAAAGCCCTTCCCTGGGGAATAAAAGAGGGGAACTAGGTGCCCACTCTTACCGATAACAAGCTCCGTCCATCTTCATCCAGGGGAGGTACGACTTTACTAAAGTCTTGCCGGGCCCACTTGGGAAAACTTGGCTTATAATCAGGCATAGAAGTAACTCCCGGCCAAACCACCTCATCTGGGGTCCCCAGAGTCCGAAAGATCCGGAAGAGTTGGTCAATCTCAGAGTCTCCAGGGAATAGGGCCCGGCGGGTCACCTGAAAATGGGGAAAGAGGAGAGGCCAAGACCCACATTGACGTCAGTCAAAACTGTGCCCTATACAGAGGAGGTTCCCACAGGCAGTGTGAGGTCAGCCGGGCCCCATGATTCCCTCCCTGGGGCCTTTCATGGGGTCAGTCACACACTGCCTGAGACAATGAAGTTCCTTCATCTGTCTCCTTGCCCCCTCCTTCCTTCCCCCAATCATGGCTTTGCAGATCCCCAAGGCTGGGTGGGGCTGGGAGGGGGTGAATGTCTGGGGTGCCACTGACACGTAGCAAAGGGATCCCAAGCCACTCACGGGGTATGGGGTAGACACTGCGGTCATCCCCCCTCCTTGTGATGCAGCCACTTCTAGATAGGAGCACAGCGGGCAGAGACTGTGTCTTCCATTTCTTCTGTGTTCCCCACAGCACTTAGCATGGTGCTGGGCACACACTAGGTGCTTAACAAATATTTTTTGATGAATTGAGAGAGGAATATGGGCAATAGTAAGGTATATTATGTAGGTGTATATATATATATAAAGATATATATATAGGCTAATGATCTCCAGTTACAACCCAGATAAAAGACCAGAAAACATACTGCTGATTTGACTTGAAGACTCAGCCTACTGCACTGTTGTATTAAAGGGGATGAGAAATCCCACCTAAGGCTGGACCTCAGGGATCCTTCAATCTGAAAAGCCAGAGGTTGAGGGGGACGTGATCTAAGTCTGCAGTTTAAATAAAGGGTGTGGATAAAGTGACCGCAGTTGGCTTCACCACCTGCCTAGCACTCTACAACTAGGTCTATAACCTTGAAATGAAGGAGGCACTAAATGAAACTCATTCTCCTATAAGCAGACCATAGCTAAAACAGCTATAAGCAGACCATAGCTAAAACAGCTGCAGAAGTGATTTAGCTTTCTTCAGGGATAGGAGATAGATACTAGAGCCGGGCGCAATGGCTCATACCTGTAACCCCAGCACTTTGGGAGACTAAGGCAAGAGGACTGCTTGAGTCCAGGAGTTTGAGCCCAGCCTGGGCAACACAGTAAGACCTCGTCTCTTTAAAAAAAAAAAAAAAAAAATCCTGGTGCAGTGGCTCCTGCCTGTATTCTCAGCACTTTGGGAGGTGGAGGTGAGAGGATTGCCTGAGCTCAGGGCTTCAAGACCATCCTGGGCAACTTGGCAAGACCTCATCTCTACAATAAATAAAAAAATTAGCCGGGCATGGTGGCAAATGCTTGTATTTCCAGCTACTTAGAAGGCTGAGGCAGAAGGATTGCCTGAGCCCAGCAGATCGAGGCTGTGGTGGCTGTGAGCATGACACTGTTCTCCAGCCTGGATGACAGAGTAAGACTCCAACTCAAAAAAAAGGGAGAGAGAGAGAGAGACAGCAGATACCAAGGCTGTTTGAAGATATCCTAACATTGTGGTTGCTATCAGGGGCAACTGTCCCATCCTTTCTCCACCACCCCCCCTCCTAGGTACTACTCTAGAGTGAGAACCCAGTGATAGAAGGGCCATAGGTCTGGGCCAAGAAACAGTCCTGTTGTTCTTGCACGTGGGGCAGAGTGGACTGGGTAGAACCCAGGCAAGCCTCCGTACCATCTCAGCAAAGATGCAGCCCAGGCTCCAGATGTCCACTGCTGTGGAGTAGTACTTGCAACCCAGGAGGATTTCAGGTGCTCGGTACCACAGGGTCACCACCTGCAGGACAAGAGTAGGAAGAGAAGGGGTGGTTTATAGGTCATGGAGATTCCCACATCTCACTCCTCAACACTACCCTGCTAACTCTTGTCAGTTTCCTTCCCTACATGCTTCCCCTCCCTCTGATTTCTCCTGAGAGAAATGTCTACCCATAGCTTTTTAGCCCAGAGATAGCACAGTCCATAGCTCTGGAGACCATATTTTCTGAGCCTCCAATATGGGATCTTTCTGAAAAACTAGAGACAAATTTTAATGATGTGCCATCCAGCCATCCTGGCTTGGTATCTAAGCCCAGTTAGATCCACAGTATGAATTCTGGGCATACCCTAAGACTCCTTAGGGCATCTGAGATTCTTTCCATCTACTAGGAAACCGCTAGCTAGATATTTTTAGTAACCTTGTGAATACCCTTGTTAACACCTACCAAGAAGCTCAAAAAAACCTAGAGGGACTCACCTCATGGGTGTAAGTACGAACAGGGACTCCAAAGGCTCTGGCAAGTCCAAAGTCGGCTAGCTTGATAGACCCCTCAGCATTGATAAGTAGATTCTGAGGCTTAAGGTCCCGGTGCAAGACCCGGTGAGAATGGCAGAAAGCTAGGCCCTGGAGCAGCTGGAACAGATAGCTCTGACGAGGGAGAGAGAGGGAACTGTATTTCTCCATCACAGTAAGCAGACTGGGTTTGCTCTGTGCCCCTCAAAGCTCTGCCAAAGCCTTTACTAGGTTGTATTATAATTACATGTTTACAAGCTATTTTTCCCAGTGGACTGTCAGCCCAGGGAGGATAAGTACTAGGTCGTCTTACTCAGTTTTGCATCCTTTCTTCACACCCCATGGCTTGCACATTGAAGGTGTTCAATAAATGTGCATTGAATAAATGTTTGTTGATAGATTGAAAATAGCTTGGGAGGGCATGGTGGCTCACACCTGTAATCCCAGAACTCTGGGAGGCTGAGGAGAGAAGTTTGCTTGAGCCGAGGTGTTTGAGATCAGCCTGGGCAACATAGCCAGATCACATCTTTACAAACAAAATTAAAAAATTAGTTGGGTGTAGTGGCACATGCCTATAGTCTTATCTACTTGGGAGGCTGAGGTGGAAGGATTGCCTGAGCCCAGGATGTTGAGGCTGCGGTGAGCCCTGATCGTGCCACTGCACTCCAGCCGGGGCGACAGAGTGAGACTCCAGCTAAAATTTTTATAAGATGAAAATCGCTTTGGGAATGAAGAACCCAGCCCTAAATTAGATAATAGAGACTCACCAGCTAGCTCTCCCATCAAACAAGGGCTTTTTGTTTTTGTTTTTTTGAGTCAGAATCTCACTCTATCACCCAGGCTGGAGTGCAGTGGCATGTTCATGGCCACCGCAACCTTGACCTGCTGGGCTCTGGTGATCCTTTCAGCGTCAGCCTTCCAAGTAGCTGGAACTACAGGCGCATGCCACAATGCCCTGCTAATTTTTTGGTTTATTGTAGAGACGAGGTCTCAGCAAGTGGCCCAGGCTGGTCTCGAATCCCTGGGCTCAGGCAATCCTCTCGCCTCAGCCTCCCAAAGTGCTGGGATTCCAGGCTTGAGCCACCGCACCCAGCAGACAAGGGCTTTTTGGAGGAATTTACCAAGTGCCCTTGGATCTCATGTATCTGAGTTTCATCTGACCTCCCTCTTGAGCTGCTGTGCTGACTCACTAGAGTTTCAACTTTGATTCTTCAGCCCAACCCTAGGGTTAATGAATATAATGAGAAGGGAAAGCGACACAAAAGAAAGAGGGGTGAGTGTGTGTGTGTGAGTGTGTGTGTGTGTGTGTGTGTGTGTGTGTGTGTGTGTCTGTGTAGGAGATGAGGGCTGGGAAGGAGGCCCCTTGGCCTTTAACAAATTATTACCCTGAATTACCTGCCGCCAGTCCAGCCCCCCAAGACATGACGGGGGGGAGGAGCTGATGAGATGGCTGATGAGATGTGTTACCTTGATGAGTGGAAGAGGAATGCCAGTGAGAGCAGAGGCATCCATGAATTTCTTCAGATCTTGGTGCAGAAATTCAAAAACCAGGTAGAGTTTATTTTCTGTGTGGATGACATCGAGCAGTCTAGGGAAAGGGAGGTTGGGAAATGGAGGTGAGGGAGAGAAATGCCCACACTGTACAGACAGAACTCATCCTCCTTTCCCACCAGGTCACCTCTTCCGACACATACTTACTTGACAATATTAGGATGGTTAAGCTCCTTAAGCAGAGAGATCTCTCGGATGGCAGTGCTGGGTACACCCTCAGTCTCACTTGGAGAGGTTGGGAAAGCAGAGCGGAAAGATGGTTACAAATATTTCTTTTCCCCAAGGAGGCACCCCCCGCACCCCCCAGGGAGAGAAGTAGGCTGTAAAGAGTTGATTCCTGGGGAGTCAGGGCGTGGCTTTTGGACACATTAAGGCCATGAAGTCCTCTTTTCCTAGGAGTAGGGAAGTAAAGCCTCCAGGTAAAGGTAAAGCAGAGAGACGGCAATAAAGATAAAATGTGGGAGTAGCAGCAGCCTCCCTAGAGGGGCCAGTGAGCTTCAACTGCCATTCTTTTGAAAGAGGGAGAGAATTCCAAGACGAGGGTGGGGGTTGGGGCGGTGATAGGGGCTCTTCATTCAAGGAGGTGCTCTTCTCCGGTCCCCATATAATCCAGCTCCACCGAGAGTCTTGGACCCCCTTCTCAGAGGCCTCCTTTCTCTTCCCGAGTCTCCCTGGTTGCACATTTGGGGGCATCATCCGGCTCAGTTCAGGAAGAAAGTTTTCCGTGGAGTCTACACCACCCTATACTTCCCAGAGAGAGTAGATAGATACACTCTCCACTCTCTATGTCCTCCAACCCACCCACTACTTCAAAAGACGTCCCTCCCTGCTCCCTTCCGGTCCCCGGACGGCTACCCGCCTGTTGGGGGGCCCGGTGGGTCCAGTCAAGGTCTCCAGTTAGGAGTCCCGAGTACAGAGGCCACTCACGTGTCCAGGCGGATTTTCTTAAGCGCCACCACTTCTCCCGTCAACTTGTTTCTGGCTTTATACACAACTCCGTACGTGCCCTCTCCGATCTTTTCCACCTTTTGAAAGTTCTCCATGAAGCGCGAGCGAGTCGGGTCAGCCCGGCCCTGGAGCGGGGGCCTGGAAACCCAGCAGATGGCGGGCCCCGGCTCTCGGGAGCCGAGGAGGGGAAAACAGGGCCCAGCACCGTGGCCCCAGGTCGGGATGGAACGCAGCGTATCTCTCGCTCTTGTCAATTTGTCCAACTTGAAACAATGTTGCCGCCTCCCCCCCCAAGTTCCCAGCCGCCACCAGAGGCCCCGCCCCTCCTTCCCGCGTTTCCATGGCCCCGCCCCCTGGCCTTCCTATTGGTCAACGTCAAGAGGGCGGAGCCAGTCCGGCGCTCCTCGCCGCCGAAGACCCCGCCCTGTGCAAGTTTCTGAGGGGCCAAATTTCTGGCTCGGTGGGACCGCTGAGCACCTGCCCCCGGGTATTGTTTTGGGCCTGAGTTTCCCTTCCTGTGTCTCCAATCTGTAGGGATTCACCGACCTCTAACTCACTATTTTCACCATCCCTGGAGAAAATATATATCGACCTAAGAATAAATTCCACTTTCTTGGGAGGCTGCTTTGAAAAGCAGGATTCCAGGACCCTCAGGGAAGTCGTTGCCTCTGCCTCTCAGCCTATCTCGATGCCGTCTCTGTTTTTTGGATGCAAGGTTCTGTTTCTTTTTGAGAAGTACCTTCAATGTGCAGACGGATGGATAATTTAAATAACAACAATAGTATTAATAAAAAAAATAAGTTCCCGGTTTGATTAACTCACTAATTAAGTCATTAACTCCCGTGATGACTTTGTGTGTGGCTGGTACAGTTGCCTTTCAGTTAACTTTTTCCCCGGGAGTGGAGTGTGTCAAGATGAAAGTGACCCAGTGAAACCAGGATAGCAGGATGAGAAAGAAATGTCCAGGGACCAGACCCCTTGTCAGTTTTTCCTCCTTCCCGTCCTCCGGCCCCTCCCAGGCTTCCTGGAGGGAGAAGAGGAAGGGCTATGCAAATTAGGACCCCTTTCTTATATAGGGAATTAACCCAGTCCCACCAGTGCCTTTGATTGCTGGAGGGAAGGACGAGATGGATCTGGTGCTGAGAAGGTGTCTTCTCCATTTGGCTGTGATGGGTGCTCTGCTGACTGTGGGGGCAGCAGAAGGTGAGTGTGGGTATGTGGACATGAGAAGGCGTGAATTTACCTACTCTGGTTTTCCCCCTCCTGATGGGAGATACTAGTAATACTTCAGGCTTCTCTCACCCATTCTATTGGGTGGAGATGTGGGCACCTGGGCTCCCTCCCTACATGGAGATTTGGAATTCAGCCTGAAAATAATTTCATCTGCTTGGAGGGGCAGGAGCATAGTAGGTCTTTGCAGCACTACTTCTGAGTCCTTCTTGGAAGCAAGCTGGAGAAGGGGTTGCAAGGGGTGAAATAGGTGGGAGACTTTTAGATCATGTCTCAGGCACTTGGAGTAGGGGACCTGAAGTAAGGAGTAAGTGGTATTGGATAAAAAGGCTAAAGAGATATTACCTTTCCTGCTTGTGATGGGCATGGGTAAACACACGCCAGAACTTTTGTTCTGGGACTGGGAGAGATAGGCAGAGGGGTCTCAGCTGAGCATCACATGAAAAGGCTCTGGGGGATTGGGGCCTCGTGACAGGAGCAAGGGGCGGGGGTGGGGCTGGTGAGAGGGTCTGGAATGTCCCGTGCTGCTCTGAGGAGGGAGGATTGGGAGTGGAGAAAGAATGGGTCATCTTATGACTTCCCTTGCTCTGGGGTGATGCTCAGTGAGATGATTCCAGACCCTCCCCTGCAGAATCAGTTGGGTTTCCAGCATACATCAGAAATGGGACAAGGACAGTTCCTGCTGTGATGAAATACATACATCATATCCCAGCCCTACTTTCTCTCTCTAGATCCCTGGTCTCACAGACTTCTAGAAAGTTCTCCTTGACTTGACTTCCCTCATTACACTGCAGTTTCAAGTCTTTTTCTTTTACTATGTTCCTTAATGTATTCTAGTAACAATCTGTTCACATCCACCCATCTGAGGTTCTTAAAAGTTTGTGCTAGGCCGGGCTCAGTGGCTCAGCTTGTAATCCCAGCATTTTGGGAGGTCGAGGTAAATGAATTGCCTGAGCCCGTGGGTTCAAGACCAGCCCAGGCAACTTGGCAAGCCCTCATCTCTAAAATAGATAAAAAATTAGCCGGGCGCAATAGCACGTGCCCGTAGTTCCAGCTACTTTGAAAGTTGAGGTGGAAGGATTGCGGGAGCCCAGCAGGTCGATGCTGGAGTGACCGTGAGTGTACCAAGGCACTCCAGCCTAGGGGATGGAGTGAGACTCCAACTCACACACACACACAAAAGTTTGTGCTGGCTGGGCATGGTGGCTTACGCCTATAATCCCAGCACTTTGGGAGGCTGAGGTGAGAGGATTGCCTGAGCCCATGGGTTCAAGACCAGCCTGGGCAACTTGGCGAGACCTCATCTATACAATAAATTTAAAAAAAATTAGCCAGGCACGGTGGCTCACGCCCATAATCCTAGCATTTTGGGAGGCTGAGGTGAGAGGATTGCCTGAACCCACGGGTTCGAAACCAGCCTGGGCAACTTGCCGAGACTTCATCCCTACAATAAATCAAGAAAAATTAGCCAGGCATGGTGGCACATGCCTGTAGTTCCAGCTACTTGGAAGGCTGAGGTGGAAGGATCACCTGAGTGAAAGCAGGTCGAGGCCGCAGTGACTGTAAGCATGCCACTGCACTCCAGCCTGAGTGACAGAGTGAGACTTCAACTAAAAATAAAAATAAAAATTAATTAATTAATTAATAAAAATTAGCCAGGCATGGTGGCATGTGCCTGTAGTTCCAGCTACTTGGAAAGCTGAGGGAGGAGGATCACCTGAGCTCAGCGGGTTGAGGTTGTGGTGGCAGTGATCATGCCACTGCACTCCAGCCTGGGTGACAGAGTGAGACTCTGACTAAAAAAAAAGTTTGTACTTACATTTTGGATCCTGAATTTTAAAATCATAAGAAGACATTTTTCTAGATGGTCATGAAATTTTATGTGGTTTGGATTTGTTTTGTCTGGTGTGAAATGGATGACAAGAAAATAATTTTTTTTTAGTGATACAAACTGAATTTATAGGGTTAAAATAACAAGATGTCTTTTTTTTTTTAAGTTGGAGTCTCACTCTGTCACCTAGGCTGGAGAGCAATGGCTTGCTCCCAGCCACCAAAGTCTTGATCTGCTGGGCTCAGGTGATTTTTCTGACTCAGCCTTCCAAAGTAGCGGGAACTACAGGCACACGGCACCAAGTTCGGTTAATTTTTTTTTTTTTGAGTTGGAGTCTCACTCCATCACCTAGGCTGGCGTGCAGTGGCACACTCACTGCCACCCCAACGTCAACCTACTGGGCTCCGTTGATCCTTCCACTTCAGCCTTCCAAGTAGCCAGCACTACAGGTGTGAACTACCGCACCCGGCTCATTTTTTATTTGTTGTAGAAAGGAGGGCTCCCCAAGTTGCCTGGGCTAGTCTCGAACCCACTGGCTCAGACAATCCACACGCCTCGGCATCCCAAAGTGCTAAGATTACAGGCTGAGCCACCGAGACTGGCCTTTTAAAAAAAATTATTGTAGATGAAGTTTTGCCAAGTTACCCAGGTTGGTCTTGAACACGCAGGCTCAGACAATCCTCTCACCTCTGCCTCCCAAAATGCTGGGATTTATAGGCATGAGCCATCTCGCCCTCCCACAAAATGTCTTAACAAGATGTTTTAGGATTTACATTTAAATACTTTAACCAGCCGGGCTCCGTGGCTCAGCCTGTAATCCCGCGCCATTGGGAGGCTGAGGTGAGTGGATTGCCTGAGCCCGCAGGTTCGAGACCCGCCTGGGCAGCGAGACCTCATCTCTACAATAAATAAAAAAAAAAAAAAATCAGTCAGGCGTGGTAGCGCATGCCTGTAATTCCGGCTACTCGGAAGGCTGAGGCGGAAGGATCGCCGGAGCTCAGCAGGTCGAGGCTGTAGTGGCCGGGAGCGGCCACTGCACTCTAGTCTGGGTGACAGAGTGAGACTCCAACTCAAAAACAAAACAAAACAAAAGAAACTTTAACCAGCCGGGCACAGTGACTGAAACCTGTAATCCTAGCACTTTGAGAGGCTGTGAGGAGAGGATTGCCTGAGCCCAGGAGTTCAAGACGAGCCTGGGAAACTTGTTCTCTACAATACATCAAAAAATTAGCTGGGCATGGTAGCACACGCCTGTAGTTCTCGTTACTCAGAAGGCTGAGATGGAAGGATCGCCTGAGCCCAGCAGATCGACGCTGGGGTGGCCATGAATGTGCCACTGCACTCTAACCTGGTGATGGAGTGAGACTCTGATGCAGAAAAAAAAATAAATAAATAAAAAATAAATAGCTGGGCTCGATGGCTCAGCCTGTAATCCCGCGCCTTGGGAGGCCGAGGTGAGCAGATTGCCTGAGCCCGCGGCTTCGAGACCCACCGGACAACTTGGTGAGACCTCATCTCTACAATAAATCAAAAAAATCAGCCAGGTGTGGTAGCGCGTGCCTGTAGTTCCAGCTACTTTAAAGGCTGAGGCGAAAGTATCACTAGAGCCCAGCAGTCGAGGCTGTGGTGGCTGGGAGCGGCCACTGCACTCCAGTCTGGACGACAGAGTGAGACTCCAACTCAAAAAAAAAAAACTCCAAAAAACTAACTAACTAAATAAATACTTTAACCAGAACAAAAATAAAAACACCTACTCATGAGGATAGATAAAGAAAATGTAGCAAAATGTTGATAGCTGTCGGATGTGGGTGAGGACACGAGGAGAGTCATCATACCCTTTCTATTCTCAGACCTCTCTTTACAGTAACTTTGTCTTCTCTGTCCCTATCCCCAATCTCTGCCCACCTCTAATCCATCCTTCTGACTACTTGTCTTAGTGATCTTTCTAAAACACAAATTTCAGCCAGGTGCCATGGCTCATGCCTGTAATCCTAGCACTTTGGGAGACAGAGGCAAGAGGATTGTCTGAGCCCAGGGGTTCGAGACAAGCCTGGGTAACTTGGCGAGACCTCGTTTCTACAATAAAAAGAAAAATTAGCCAGGTGTGGTGGTGTGTGCCTATAGTTCCAGCTACTTAGAAGACTGAGACTGAAGGATCACCTGAGACCAGCAGGTCAAGGTTATGGTAGCCGTGATTGTTCCACTGCGCTACAGCCTGGGTGTAAGAGTGAGGTTCTGACAAAAAAATAAAACTAAAATAAAAAACACAGGCCAGGCACGGCGGCTCAGGCCTGTAATCCTAGCACTTTGGGAGGCAGAGGCGAGAGGATTGCCTGAGCCCAGGGGTTCGAGACCAGTCTGGACAACTTGGTGAGACCGCGTCTCTACAATAAATCAAGAAAAATTATCCAGGCATGGTGGCGCACGCCTATAGTTCCAGCTACTTGGAAGGCTGAGGCAGAAGGATCACCTGAACCCAGTATGTCGGGGCTGCGATGGCCATGAGCATGCCACTGCACTCCTGCCTGGGTGACAGAGTGAGACTCTGACTCAAAAACTAAATAAAATAAGAATAAAAAACACAAATTGATCATGTTCAAAAGCTTCTGAAGGGTCAATTTGATGGTACGTTAACTATATCTTAATTTAAAACACAACAAATAACCTTCAGAGGTGGCCTTGCCTACAGGATAAAGGCCAGATTCCTTAGTCTGGCACTGCAAGCCCCCAACCCATCTTCTCTGCTTCCTTTCTCACAGTGTGCATCAATCTCATTGATAGCAGTCCCCTAATGTGCCATGTATGTCCATGCCTCCATGCATTTGCTTATGCTGGTCCTAGGGTAACTCCTCCATGAAGTTTCCCCATCTGCTTGAGTGGAACTAATCTGTTTAGTCTGTCATTTTGTTGCACTATGGGTATATGTGCTATGGCACGTAATAAATAGAGCCTAGAATTATAGAAATTTATGTCGATGTCTGTTTCTTGTACTTCACCTTGAATCCCTTCAGAGCCACATCTTATTCATTTCTTAAGTCCTTCGTGCCTAAACCAGTGGTACATGGTGGGTATTCAGTCAATTAAAATGCATTTTGAATGTGAGAAAGAATGGGGTGACACGGGATAGAGTGTTGTCCTCTGAGAAGGGACCGAGGGAAGCTCCTGGGGCCCTCATGATACATCCCTTATAGGACCCAGAGACCAAAACTGGCTTGGGGTCCCGAGGCCACTCAGAACTAAAGCCTGGAACCGGCAGCTGTATCCAGAGTGGACCGAAGTTCAGGGACGTGACTGCTGGAGAGGTGGGGACTGGGAAGTTCCAGGGGAGGGCATGGCGGGAATGGAATGGGGGAAAAGCAAGAAAAACTGGACTGAATGCAGCTTGGGAAATGTCCACCGGGAGGGGAAGCCAAGGAGTCCCAGCTAATGCAATTTCCCTTCCCAGGTGGGCAAGTGTCCCTGAAGGTCAGGAATGATGGGCCCACACTGGTTGGTGCAAATGCCTCCTTTTCTATTGCTCTGCACTTCCCTAGAAGCCAAAAGGTTCTGCCAGATGGGCAGGTCATCTGGGCCAACAACACGATCATCAATGGTGAGTACCTCTCTACTCACCATTATTCCTAGGTCCTTATTCCTAGGGCTCAGGTTCTCTGGCATCCTTAGTGAGCTTAGGGAATGCCCCCTCCTTTTTTTTAGAGACAGAAAGAGTCTTGCTTGCTCTTTCACCCAGCCTGGGGTACAGTGGCATGATCATGGCTCACCACAGCCTTAAATTCGAATTCCTGGCTCAAGCCATCCTCCCACCTCAACCTCCCAAGTAGATAGGACTATGGGCATGACCCACCATATATGGCTAACTTTTTTTTTCCTTGTAGAAATGAGGTCTCACTATATCGTCCAGGCTGGTCTCAAACTCCTGGGCTCAAGTGATCGTCTCCCCTCAGCCTCCCACGGGCTAATTTTTTTTTTGTAGAGATGAGTTCTTGTTATGTTACCCAGGCTGGTCTCAAGCAATCCTGGGCTCAAGCAATCCTGGGCTCAAGCAATCCTCCCACCTTGTTCTTCCTAAGTGCTGAGATTATAAGCATAAGCCACTGTGCCCAGCTTCCCTCTATTTTTTAAAATCAAGTTATATATGTAATGCACACTCGTAGTAAAATTAGATAAAGCAAAAAGAAAAAGCCGGGCTTGGTGGCTCAGCCTGTAATCCCACGCCTTTGGGAGGCTGAGGTGGGTGGATTGCCTGAGCCCGCGGGTTCGAGACCCGCCTGGGCAGGCGAGACCTCATCTCTACA